CAGAATGTCTTTTCATTTATATTTGAAATCCAGTTCAAATAACTGATAGAGCCTGTAGACTATACGTTTTGCTCTGTAGATTTGACGCTTCTAGAATGAAATTTTATCACGGGCTGCTGTAAAGCCAATCCAGATACTAGGGACAGTGAAAAACACCTGATCCAAGTAACACTTGTCAATCCCTTGTATAATCGTAACCGTCACATGACTGCATGTTATTCATGTTCAGAAGAGTTATTCTGACATATCGTGGTTATTATATAGTGTTTATTTCAGGTATCAGATGTTTCGACCAAGATGGACTTTAGTGTCCCTTTTATTTCCTTGTTTTTTACCATACTTTACACTTATTTTATATTCCTCTTCACCCAGTCCTACGTTGTAGCAATTGTCATTCCTGACCAAGAGGTTTTAGAGCCCTGGGCGAAATCGAAGAAGATTCCTGGAGACTTTGGGGAGCTGTGCGATAATGAAGTAGGAATCATTGCTACATTAAAAAAGTCTTACATCGTCTAACATCATCACCTTACGAACTCATTATGTCTTCACTCTGTAAAAGTTGATGAGTCCGATGTTTCTATCGCTTGAAAGTTGACGACGACGGAGCGACCCGAGTCAACTATCACGCATTAAAAATCGAGGGCGAATAATCAAATTGCTTTAGCATAAATCTACAAATCGTTCAAAACTTAATGTTGGGAAACAGACACTTAGCTACACTTCGAAAAAGAAGCGGCCCCCATTTTGTTAAAAGCCGCACACTGCCAGGCTACACAGAATAGATAGTGAGTAGCGTAGCCAATCAGAAAACAGCAATCGTGATAGAACGCTAGTACATTTATACTAATACAACTGTTGGAGCGATCTGTGTTCATGATTAAATTTTAAAAAAGGAGTTTAAAATAGATCTAAAAAGCGTTAAAACTGAAGAGAATTCAGTTTTAACGTTTTTTAGATCTGTTTTAAACTCCTTTTTTAAAATTTTAATTATAATAAGACGTTTAAGTATAAATCTACTAGTGTTCTATCACGAATGCCGTTCTCTGATTGGCTATGCTGCTCACTATCTATTCTGTTGTTGATAGAGGTTGGCGTAGCAGCGTGGGCTAGGGGCCGCTTCTTTTTGTTTCAGTTCGAAGTTTTTGAGCGCGATAGAAATTTTTACGATGGGCGCGGAAATTCTCGCGTACTCATTGGCTAATTTTCATTGTCAATAAGCGGGCAGACACATGAGTTCATAATTATTGCGATGCGTCAACTAGCGAGAGCGGACAATTGGGCAATTTTTTATCGTAAAAAACAAATTGATGTCAGTTTTTAATGCGTCTGATCTGTTATTGACAATGAATTTCGTCATAACATGGTCAAATCCACTCGACTATCGCCTCGTGGATCCACAGCTACTTTGACAATGTAATGACGAAATTCATGATCAATAACAACATGAAACACTGACGTCAATTTGTTAACTCGAGCTCATAATCTAACTGTTTAATAAATGGTCAAAAGAAAAAAAACTGATGTGATTTTTCTCCCGCCATCAAGATATGTGGAATGGTACAAGTAATACAATTATTTTTTTAAAAAAATTCCGTTATGAAACGTTATTGTCTTTATCATCGTTTTTGCAGGATGTAAAAAAGGCAATTCTCGACGACATAACTATGAAAGGCAACGAAGGGAAGCTGAATTCATTTGAGCAAGTGAGTCCCT